TAACCCTCCTAAAAAACTGTCCCCTTTCCCAAAAATGTGGTGAAAGTGAGAGTGAATATATGCAACAAGTCAACAGCCCATGAAATCTGTTTCTCCTAGATATATTAATAAAGGCTCTCCCAAATTCTTAGGCAGGATTTTTTTTTTTTTTCCTTTTCCATCCTTTTTCCTCTCTTTTCTTTTTTTTTTTCCTGCATACCTTATACACCACATTCAACCCACAGGAACCTGGAAGAAACTGCTAACTTATACTACATTCATGTCAGAAGAGGTGGAAAAATTTTTACAACAGGAGCCATAGTCATAGAAGAATCAAGCTGCTTTACATTAAACTAATTCAATGGCAATAAATGGAAAACGCTGATTTACTGGGGGACACTGATGAAAGTTTGCTTTGAAGCCTTAACTCACAGCATTGCTGTGGTAACTCCTGTGAATATTGTAGCTGAAAAATCTTGAGGGTTGGGGACTGAGGATCAGAGATGCTACATGGGCCATCCATTTCTTCACAGTGTCTCAGAGATCTGAACTTCGTTGTTTTTTTTAAACACCTAGAATCTGGTCATGGCAGTGGATCTCAACCAACAGTCAAGGCCTCTGTTCTGGTGGAGGATGTCCCAGCCCTACTGGTGCCTCTTTTCTTTTGGCGACTTGTATGGAAGACAGAAGCCAAGCCCATGACATTTAAGAGGTGCACACCTCTAGTCACTAAGGATCACGTGTTTAAAAAAAAAACAACGGGAGCTAGTAAGAACATGGGAAGCTCAAAATTACAAGACCAAAATGTTCATAAAATAAGTCTACAGAATCAGATGTGACCAGCAAGCCCCTACACACGTGCCAGACTGTGGTGGTGAAGATGCTCCCACTGAACTGGAAGTCACCTAACCTTTCGGCAGGACAAGGCTCTTGCCAAAGAATATCACAAAAAGCAAAGAGCTTTTTTTCTTCCATTACATCCCTACTATACCCAGTTCTTAGGTCACTGCCAGCCAACACAGCAAAGCTTCTAGCAAGTTGACAAAAAAAAAAAGGGAGGGAGGAAGGCAACGAAGGAGGACAAGGGCAGAAAAACAGGAGCCCCTTTCTATTGGCCCAACACAGAGACTTCCCGAATCACCGCAGTTGTCACGATGAGACACCTGAAGAAGTCAACGTGCAACAAGGCAGGAACTCAGCATGCCACATTTTTGAAGACACAAAAGCACATTTAGCTTCCTTGATTTTTGCTGATTTACTGACTTATTTTAAATCTAGCCCACTGCCTTTGGGGCCTGTCCAGCACCACTCCCATCTCCTTCGTGGGCAAACGTCTTCCCGTCTGTGGAGTGGCTGGACCACATGCACATACACACGCCTCCCCCTGTGCAGGATGTCTGGGTGTATGTAAGAAGGCACTAAAGTGGTTTGAGAGAAATTGCAGGCAGCAACCCCACATACTCCCTTCACCTGGCAAGCTGGAGTTTCTTTCCCACTGGTAAGCTTAGATGTTTGAAAGAAGCTGTGGTCAGGCTTGGGAATTCTGACCCCTGGCCCCAGGAGGGAATATAAAAGGAGAATTCAACATCACCAAAAACTGAAAGGAAATACTCCACCTGTCCAGCTGAGGGATGGGGATAATTAAGCAGCAGATCTTCAAAACAGAAATTAAAATGAGCACAACAATAGCTGGGAGCTAAAAAAAGTAAAATCACTTGTTCCTTCTTAGATTCTTCTATATTTTCTCCTCCTCCCCTAACAAGTGGAGGTCAGATAGACATTCTTCATCAATAGAACAGTCCATAGATATTTCTCCTCTAGTAATGCCTATATTTAAAATTTGTTCCAAACATTATTAACCTAGATTTCCTAACTCTTTACATAGATTCTCAGCAATCCAAACCATACTCTCTCTTTTTTTTGTAAGCTGTTCTTTCTTTCTTTCTTCCTTTCTTTTGTTGCGGGGGGGGGGGGAGGAGAGTTTCTTTGAAAAATAAACAAAAAACAAAAAATACTAGGGGAGATTTCAGTCTAGTCTTAAATGGAAAGGAGCAATGTGATGGTATTCCCATTTACATACGCCAAATGCTCTCCCATTAAATTATACACAATTCCAAATGAATCCATGGTAAGAGTGCTTAAAAAGCTTAGTCCTTCTCCCATTTTTTTCAGATCACGAATTTACCAGTTGCTGCAAAATTGATAATTTGTAAAAAATATTTCTTTCTACATGTTTTAAAATGTGTGATCCCCAGTATGACAACAACATTTGGAGACTTTTCTTTTTACGTATTTTTTTTTTTAAGTAAAAATTTTTTTAAACCTTTCTGAAGTTTCAGGAACTTGTAAAAGTTTATTAACAGGAAAGAAACAGCCATCTATCTAGGATAAGATACGGTTAAATAAACCATCTTCAAAAAACTGGCTTCCTACCCTAGAATTCCTGAGAATGCTTGCAAATTTTAAAGCAGGAAAATAAATGTTAAAAACAAAAAACACTGTTAAATGCTCCCAGAGTTAGTCTTCATCTAAAATATATATTTATATGTGTATATATATTTATACGCACTTTTTGGTCTTTTTTTTTTTTAAGTTTTAATTTTTTTTCCCTTTAAGCTTATGATGGAAGAACATTTTAGCTTCTCATGTTTATTTTTACATATTTCAAATCCCTCAGTATGTCTTGTAAACAAGAGGGGCTCTAGCACCCGGCTTTCACCGTAGTATCGTAAGGAACTCAACTAACCCAGAGTGCAGGTCAAGGAACCAACAGGCAGGAGGAGAGGAGGGCGGGCAGGACACAGCAGTGAACCAAGAACAGCAGTGGACCGGGTCTCCACTGCCTCACGGGAGCCTAGGGATATGCTCCTGGCCCAGGAACACTAAGATTTCACCTTCTGTAGACGTTGGAACATAGCTGCTCTTCCCCCGGAGGCCACCACACACGACAGGGCTCTGCTCCGCCGCCCAGAGAGCAACCAGCGGGGCTGGAAGAAGACACTGTGTGCGTGGAAAGAGGTGGAAGAGCGTGGTGGCAATGGAAACTGGAGAGCTGGAGGAGGACACAGTCATTTTCCTACAAGGCATTCGATGGGACCAAACCAGACGCTGCCAACTCAAGTATGACCACCTACCCAGAGAGGGCCAGAAAGACTTGGATGAGCGCATGTTCATTTGAATGATGCATGTCAATCTCTTTTGAGGCTAGGTTTATCATCAACAGGGTAAACCAAGAAGACGACAGAATTTCCCATTCTTTGTCTCACAAAACCACTTCAATGCAAATAATTCGTTTTTTGCCTTTTCCTATACACACACACTCACCCACCTACACACAGACGCAAGCTATGAGTCAAAGACATTAGCATTGTTGCATCCTTCACTGAAGATGCTAAAGAAAGAAAAACTCCCTTGTCCTCACTAGCAGCCAGTCACCGAGGATAGCAAAGGTCTGCTCCCACCAAGGGTTGGAATGGGCAGGTATTTGCTGGTACAGAATGTCGGCACTTTATGTTAAACAGTATAATGCAGACACAAGAGATCCACACAAGTGCTACCACATTACTGCTCCCCACCCCAGCCCGCCCCGCCCCCCCAGCCATCTGCTTCATGTAACAGGGTACCCCTTCAGATCTGCTAAAATTCTCTTCACAATAAGCAGTTTTGTACATATTGATTCCAACATCAGTACATACATGTTGGTGATAACTGTGGATTAAAAGTTGCCCCCTATTCTGCCCAGAGTACTACTACATTGACACTTTAAAAAAAGTCTTTAAATACCAAAATTAAAAAAGAAAAAAAAAAAAAAAAAAAAAAAAAAAAAAAAAGGGGGGGAAAAAAAAAAAGAGGTCAAAAAAAAAAAAAAGGTGCAATACTTTAAAATATTTGCTAAGTTATACCTGCCTAAGCAAAACCACATACACAGGAAATACAAAACACAGAGAAACAAAAGGAAACGCTTGAAGTACACACTGGTTTAAGAACATTCGTTAAGTAAACGTTTCTGTCAGTGATGGCCTGGTGCTGTAACACGCCACGGCCTGGCACAGGTAACGCTCAGCGAGAGAGGAGCAGACAGGGAGGAGCTGCGCATGCTTTCAGGAGGCTGCTCACAACGGATTCTCTTCTGTTTTCATACAATGAAAGAGAGACCCAATGGAAATATTTAATTCTGCATTACCTGATTTTGTGATGAGTTTCTCATACCTGATCACACAGGTTATTAAGTAGCTGGAAAGGGGAACACAGCTTTTCTGCTTTTGAGACTTCACGCAATTCAAAGCTATCTTATCTTCTGTTCCCATTCAAACTAACAAAACAGGCTTGCATGGAACTTAGGAGATAGTCAGCTGTGCCTGGTGGCCACTCATTTTAAGTACAGAAAGAAACAAAAACACAGTTGCACGAAGAGGGACTTCCTGCTCTCCTAAGTTTTTGGACTTGGCAGTGAGCCACTCTACTGCTGGGTCAAAGGAAAGCTACGGAAAAATCACACTGAGGCTAACTGCAAAGGTAAAGCAGCGCCCTGCTTCCCTTAACAGAAAGCACTGTTCATCTTAACACAGCCCAGTGGAGATGCTGTAGGTGCACTGGCTCCCGGTGCTTGTGGTGTTCTCATAGTTTTTTAAAAAAATTTAAAAACCAAAACAAAGCAGATGGCCGGCCAGCCAGCCTGCGGACTATCAGCAGTGCAGCTTTCTGAGTAATCAGGGTGGGGGAAGGAGGAAGAGGAGGAGGGCAGGACACAGGCGCGCACACACACAGAGACAGAGAGGATGCACGCGAATACACATGAACACACGTGCACACACACACCAGAACGAGCATGCCTGGGCAGTTACATGTGCCAGAACACACTGGTATTTATCAACCAGCCAATCACAAAATTTTTTCCTTGTTTTCTCTTTTTTTTTTTTTTTTTTTTGGTTTTTTGTGTTTTTGTTTTTAAAGTGAGGCTCCGTCAAGTCTTCCCTCCCCCCTCCCCCAACAATTCTTTTGAATTCCCCTCCCTCCCCAACATGGTAGACCTAAGGACGGAAACACACCCAGTGCAAACAAAGTTAAAAAGCTATTTTTTTTCAGTATATATGTTTCTTAGCAACAACTTCCGTATAACATGAAAAAAGTGAAAAACTAGAAACTAATTTTTTTAATTTTTTTTGTGTTTAAATTTAAATGGTATGTGTACTTGCTTCACATTGTCTTTCTAGGTTGGCGTTCATGATTCAAGTATTTCAAGAGTGATATGTTCTCTTTTTGGATTCATATTCCAAACGAAAAAACTGAAGTTATAAGGGAGGCAACTATGTGCTCAGACAGTCTGTCAATGACCCACCTTTTTTTCTCTCTCCGTTTTCTTTTTTCCTTTTAAAAATGTATTTATTGCAAGTTGAAAAAAAAAACGAAAAGGTCAAGTTAGTGCTGCTGCTGTTCCAAAAAAGGTCACGAGGTCAGAGTTGAAAGTTCTAAGTTCAGATTGAATCCGACCCTCCTCCCAGAAGGTCACCAGGTAGTAAAGAAGCAGGGCTACCCATCCGATGGGGATCTTCCACGGTCGGGACTCCCCACAAGCTAGAAGAATAGTTTGGGGGCCCCCACAACGAAGCGCCAGCAAGATCGGCCCCGCTGCTGCCGCCAGCACTGCTGCTCCACTGCCCGAGCCCTGTAGACCCACCGAAAAGATTCAGAGCAGGTCCCACGGGATCTGACTGGTTCTGGCCGGTCTCCAGCGACTGCCACCCTGCGGCTGGTGCACTCGGGGTTGCTGCAGGTGTAGGGGGCTGAGCTTGTGCCAGAAAGCGGCTAACTTCATCATCAGTGGCAAACTCAGCCAGGATGGTAGTGTTTCCCAACACACACCTGGAAAAGGGAGAGGAAAAGAGGGATGGATCTGAGGAAAACCCCACAACAGGTATATGGGATCCAGCACTTTAAGTCCTCGCTATACAAAGTGTGGTTCTCGACTAGCAGCACTCGCATCATCTGGGTTAGCTCGTTAGAATGCAGAATCTCAGGCCTTGGCCCCTAGGCCGACAAAACCAGAGTCCTCCTTTTAACCAGATCTCCAAGTGATTGAGAAGTAGTGATTTAAAGCAATATGATATCACTAAATCTCAAAACATCCAAAGGTTATTAGAGGATACTATACATAGATGAAAAGCCCTAGGGGTGCAACGGTTAAAGCACTCGGCTGCTAACCAAAAGGTTGGTGGTTTAAACCCACCCAGTGGGTCTGTAAGAGAAAAGGCCTGGTAATCTGCTCCCATAAAGATGACAGCCTAGAAAAAAACCCTCTGGGGCAGTTCCAGTCCATCACGTGGGGTCACTGTAAGTCAGAATTGACTCAGTGGCACCTGACAACAACAGCAGCCAGGGTAAGGAGGAAAGGGTCGGTCCTGGAGGATCCCCGCGACCAGGTTAGTGCTATGTGTTCCCCATGGGAAGGAAAAGATCCCGGCAGCCCAGGCTCAGACACCTGGAGTGGTTCTCTGTCTCAGGGGCTGGGCTCACTACTCCTGCCTCACCATCACACACCTGGCTCTGTCTGTAGTACTCTGTACTGGCACTGGGAGCCAAAGGGAGTCACGTCAGCCTTTTCTTGCCTGCCAATCCGCCAGGGGCAGTGCGAGGATAGTTACAGTCGGATCTAGTTCCACCTACCTCAGGAACAACCCCTGCTACCCACCAAGACCACAATATTTCATCATCACCTACAAAGATGGCACAGCTGGCAGCTAGAGTCTATTACAAAAAATGACAGCACTTATAATCTTTCTCATCGTCATAAATATTGGCATAGTTTTATGGTGCTTAACATTTACTCACTATGTCACAAACTCTTTACATTTGGAATTCTGATTATTGGCCGATGATATACAGAGGACAGCCCATCCTTAGTTATGCAGAAAAGACCATACTACCCATGACTTGCAATTGCTTACCCAGTGGTGCTATTTTTGAGCATATTCTCATGCATCTTTGTTTAATTAAGCAGGGGCCAGAATACTCACGTGTGCATCTCCATGGCGTCTGTGTAAGTGGGCATGGCCAGGATACTCACATGTGCAGTGCAGTTTGGGCCTTGGCTGCCTCCTGTTTGGTGCTGTATCGGATCAGGGCGGTGCCCTGGGTTAGATTCAGATGGAATGTCAGCAGTGGGCCATGCTGCATGCAGATCGTTCTCAAGGTTGACCCATCAATCTAGGGAACAACGACACTCATGAGACTCGAACTGGAGGTGGGACGGGAGAGATTATTTGAAAATGACAAAGACTTCTGGTTTGTAAACCGTATCAGGATTTAAGTCAGTCAGTCTTGGAGAGACGAATGAAAAACTCAATGCCAGGAAAGGCTGCTAGAATAATGAGGTCCTAAAGACAGATTTTAAAGCTGTCAACACTGGGCTGATCCTAACGTGCATATACAAAACTGTGCATGAATACAGAGCAAAACAAAAGAATACGCGTCAACCTGTGGTCTATTTTCTTTACGAGGTCAACAGTGAGTGTGTGTTAATTGGGACAGCCTTAAAAGGCAGAACTAAGAATGGCACCCAAGTAAGATTTTAAGTTCTCAGTATCACTGCTAATGTAGAATTCTCCTACCTCCCCATTTAGGAATGCTCACAATTAGCTAAAGGCAAAGACATAAACAAGAAAAGCACTGCTAAATAGTCGACTGAGGATGCCGATGACTGGCCTAGCTCAAGACTATTTCAATGTTGTCTCTTCTTACTCTTACTTTAACCATCTGGAGGTGACTCTACTTCTATCTACTAGTCGTGTCCTCTGCTGCCTTAAGTCACTGTGACCAAAGGTTGCAACCAGTCGCCTTGGTCAGCCTCTAACCACTGAAGATGTTCAGTGGTGAAGGATAATGTCCCTAACTTAGGACTCAGATGAATTAATTTAATTTGTACCAAGATCTTAAGTAGGCTTTTGTTTTCTTTTTATTGTGCTATAAGTTTACAATTCAAGTTAGTTCCTCATACAAAAATTTATACACACATTGTTATGTGACCCTAGTTGCTCTCCCTATACTGTGACAACACACTCCTCCTTTCCACCCTGGATTTCCTGGGTCCATTCAACCAGTTCCTGTCCCTTTCTGCCTTCTCATCTCACCTCCAGACAGGAGCTGACCATTTAGTCTCATGTATCTACTTGAGCTAAGAAGCACACTCTTCACGGGTATCATTTTATGTCCCATAGTCCAGTCTAATCTTTGTCTGAAGAGTTGGCCTCAGGAATGGTTTTAGTTTTGGGCTAACAGAGAGTCCAGGGACCATGTCTTCTGGGATCCCGCCAGTCTCAGTCAAACCATTAAGTCTGGTCTTTTTACTTGAATTTGAGTTATGCACCCCACTTCTCTCCTGCTCCGTCAGAAACTTTCTGCTGTGTTCCCTGTCGGGGCTTAAGTAGGCTTATTCAAGCTGCTCAGTTCATTTTTTTGAAGAAAACAGATTACTATTGGAATTGCCTTAAAACGCTGTGCTACTGGCAGCAGCAGTGGAAACATTCTGTGGTTTTACCATGGAAATCCCACAGAATGAAAACCGACAGTTTCGTCTCAGCTCTTTACTGAAACTGATTGGAGAAACAGCTCTTAGCATTTTTCGTGAGCAACAACTGACTACATAAGGCTGTCTATATATGCCAGCCTTGTCAGGACAGATGTCCTCTTAACAAGTTTAAGGCAGTGAAAAGTGAAAGTATCAGGGGCCCTGGTGGTGTAGTGGTTAAGAGCTCGGCTGCTAATCAAAAGGTCGGCAGCTTGAATCCACCAGCCACTCCCTGGAATCTCTATGGGGGCATTTCTACTCTATCCGATAGGGTCACTATGAGTTAGAACTGACTTGACTGCAATGGGTTTGGTTTTTTGGGTTTATCTGAGTATCACAGAGTTGGTCCTATAGGCTTCTTTTAAGCTATGACTGAGATTAGTCTGCTATTAGGTAGTGTTCATTTTTAAAATTAATCAATTATTTATAATACAAACAGCCAATCTGCACATTCATTATATATACATATACACATGTACTTACTAGTCTGCATATGATAAAACAGAAATGAACAGCTGGTTAGCTTGCCCAGACTCCTTTCAAAACAGTGTGTCCCTTATAGCTTCTCTCATCCTAACCATATCATATCCACCACACTGTGTGACAACTCTTAGAAATAATGAGGCATATACAGGTTTGACGATAGTCATATAATTTCTGCCTATTTCAGACAACCATTAGATGAACAGTCGGGAACTCTTAGCTGAACTGATTAGATAATGAGGTTAAGAGCTGACCCACACCTGTCTCCTCATGTCAACTGTATTTATTAGGAAACTGCTTTTCTCAACATGTACCTTGAAATATGAGTGCTATGATTTAGCCCCCACAAATGGATTCACTGGGGCAAATAAGTATGGGAGAAGCTGTAGTTGCTCCCCTCCCTGCAGAGAACCATAATACATGCTAGCATATCAAAGAGTCTAAGAAGTCTCATAGTGAAGAAACCTGCTGAGTTTTGTTTAACCCAAGTGAATATTCCAAACATATCAGGCCAGAGACCTATTAACACCCCATGGGAACACTTTGGGAAATGGTGACTTAGTGAAGTGTACACGAATCCATGGATGAATTACATGCTGGACAACACATCCTAGTGTCAAACGGAGGGAGGTATGATTGACTCCTTTTAACAAGGTGTTGTAAAGGTCATGCTTGTCAAGTCCAGAGGAAGGTCATGGGCTCAGTTCTGATGGGTTCATTTAACCTCACTCAGAGGAAAAAGGTTGCTCAAGTACTCAACATGGTGCTCCTGCAAATGTATCAAGTCGTAAGGCAACCATGGTGAAAGGGAGGGGTCTCAGAGCAAATTAAGCCCCACCCAGGGCATATCCTGATGATAGCACATTACTAATGCCATCTTCATACGAAGAGGGTAACAGAAAATTAAAAGCATCCATGTGGCCTTTATGCTATTAAATCCACAGATTCCTTTTACTGCAGAGATGGATGGCTGATTATTTATGAAGCATGTAAACAGTTAATAGTGAGCCTTCAGCCCTCAAATCTTGTTGGATAACTAACATGAAAACAAGTAATTTCTTTAACGTGTGGTTAAAAACACCTTTCCCCACTTGGCTCCGGATTTCAGCAGACAGATTTAGACAGTAAGTTATCTCTGCTAAACAGAAATCACCAGAGAACACTGCCTGCTCTCAGTGTTATAAGCCACACTTGCTGGGCCTCTCTGCAGTGACCAGGAGATAAATGAGCTTTCCTATCTGCCAGCCATCCAGATCTCTGAGATTCCTACTCTCGTACTGTGACCCAGTCCTACCTAGAGAGTCACAAGAAAGCATGATTACCTGCGGAGTGAGATTGTGAAGAACCAGCCAGTAACTAGGACGAACCGAGCCACCATCACTCCAGGTAGAGGCTGTAAGCAACCAGAAGAAAGATCAGGAAGAGCGAGCAAGACACTCAAGAAAGCAGTGAGCAAGAAACACATTCACACAGCCCACAATGTCTCTTCTCTCATTCCACCTCACTCTGACCTTCTTTATCCTAACTGAATAAATTCTCTCCTCCACTAGTACTTGATCCCTATGCATGCTCATGCCTTATCTGCAAGACAACATTTTCCCCAGCACTGTCATTCTGCAGTTGGTCCTCTTTACTCCACCCATCTCGCCGGGAGTTCTTGGGTCTCCTTGCCTTACACTGACTTCAATTTTCCACTCAAGGGATATTTCTTCCTTTACTAGACAACTCTTATGAAGACTTCATCACGTCTTCACCATTTGTGTTAACTAACAGAGGCCCCTCATAAAACAATGCTGCTCCTTCTCACCCGAGGCAAGCCGTGAGTCCTGTGTCCCCCACCCCCTGACTGATCGGGGTGCTGTGCTGCTCCAGGGAGATGATGGTTTGGGGTTGGTCAGACCAGGAGGTGGGCGGGGCAGCAATGTAGTGTTCCTTGAGGAAATATGGTTTTTCCACATCTTGTTGGAGAGATGAGCAGGGTTGTGTCCTATGGGATCTGGGGACCATGTTGATTTGTAATCAGAGAACTTTGCTAGAAGAAGAGAAAATTAAGGAAGTATTAAGGTTAGATGGGTCACTTTAATCTACAAGTATACATAAATTTTGTCTACACATACACATAATTATGAATACATTTATATTCTAAAAATAATATCAAGTACATATTTTAAGAGTAGCAATACAAAATAATATTGTTCTTTGAGTTTATTAAATATAAAATTTTCAACAACTATTACTCTGAATCGACAAAATTATCACTTGAACTAGAGATTTAATAAGATAATTAATTCTCCACTGAGCTAAAAATAAGGGAGATAAATTCAAGGAGAAAGTATTCCTAAAGTCATTAGGCTTATAGACACAGTACAATGTGAAACATAGCAGGACTAAAGTAGTCTATAAATATTCACTGACTGAATGAAAGTACAATAGAAAACTAGGACATTTTTGATGCCTTGATTCAGCATATTAAATAACATTCAAACAGATTTAAGAAAAATCAACATATAATAAATATTCACTAAGGGCTTACCATGCTTAAGGCACTGAATCACTTTTGTGGGTAATATAAACACTTTTCCTCAAAAACCTCAAGTTCAGATGGGAAGAGAAAACAAATGAACAACAGAACTAGTGACCCCAGGCAGCACCATGTATGTTCCATCCACAGAGGACAGAGAGAATGCTGGGCTGTCAGCAAAGGCTTGGCAAAGATAGGTCTTTAAGGATTTACATAAATGAGTGGGCTCAGAGAGCTGGGGGAAATACAAACCAAGGTTCAATTTTAACTCTCTCTACTCTGAATATATTTTCTTCCAGTTTTGATTGAATAACACTTCACAAAGACACAAAAGGAGGCCACGAAAGTAGGTTGGAGGCAGATTAAGATGCTATTGGGAGATTTTTGCAGTCTATTCAGCCTGTAGTGTTAAGAAGGTAAACTAGGGTGACTGCGAACAGATTGGAACAAACGAGATGGATGTAAGAGATATGACTGAAGAATTAACTACTCAGAGGACCTGGTCACTGCCTGGGTGAAGGAAGTAAAGAGAAAGGAAAGTGTGAGGAATGACTGAGATAGTGTGACTCAGTGATGCATGCGAGCATCATTAAAAAAAATAAAGAGCTTAGTTAAAAAGGGAAGATAATTATGGGAGTAGGAAGTACACTTTTTGTTTTAGACAAGTCTGAGGGGATTCTGAGGCCATCTATCAGGTGAATGACCAATAGCAGGCAAAAAATAAAATAGTTCAACCTGAAATATAAGCAATTAGAAGAATAAGAGTTAGGTAAAAACGAGTTTGTACACGTATAGGGCAGAAGTTTTATGAAAGTACAATGTAGGGTGGTGGTTAGAAACATGGAATAGAGTTGGCTCCTTTACACATTTGCTCAGACCTGAGGCAAAGTACATCAGCACCTGAACCTCAGTTTCTTCATTTACAAAGTGGGGATAACACCAGAACTTCCTCACAGACTTTAGTGAAGGTAAAATAACAATTCATGCTTAGCATAATGCCGGGCCTACAGGAGCATTCAGTAAATGGTAGATATTGTAGCACTGCTGATATGACATGGGATGGAAAGAATGAGAAGACAATTTGTAGGCCATCAGCCTGCAATGTCTTAGTAGGTACCTAAAGATTTATTTCCTTTTGCCTGAAGAAGGAGCAAGCCTTAATGACTTTAATAGCTTAAGGTTGAACTTTTGCAGGGTCAAGGTGTCAATTACTAATAATTTATCTACTGATCTCTAAGGCACTGTGCTAAGTGAATGACTTCAAAAGCTTTATTATACCCACCAACTTTTTATTTTTTATTGTCTTTCTAAACACACACACACACACACGGAACTCAACAAATGTAGTTGGTAGTAGTAATCGAGGTCCTCTCCATTTCTCTGGCCAGCTTTCCTTAGCATTCATCTACAAGAGGACAGATTTCTAGAGGAATGAAAGCTACCACTGGCTGCCTTAGGAATAACAACCTATAACTTAGTTGGTTCTTGCTATGGCTCTTGATTCCCCTGGCTGGCTGGTCAGAAGAAAAACACTTGTGTCATTAGGACATGACGTGTCTTCTGAACACCCACAGTACCCTTCAACTGTGTTATTATCTGCCTTGTCATAAAGCTGTATTTGTCTCATCCTCCCTCTGTGAGACTAGCAGCTCCCTGAGGACAGGCCCAATACAAAAGGTGTGCTCATCAAAGTCTGTTCCACTGAATTAGTGATTCACTTCTATATAGAGGATACTGAGAAGGGAAATAAAGTGAACAACTTGGGATAATCCACGCTGACCTATGCTATTCAACTTTTGTAAAAGTACTTCTTAAGAAATAAATTTTAATTGCCTTTCTAGAAAGAAATCTGACGGAAAATGCTTACCAAAGGGAAACAATAGGTCACACTCATACCTGAAGTGCTATGAACGTTGGTAAAGGAGTTGTCAGAGGCACTGTAGGGCCAGGCACCAGGTGAAGGCAGCGAGGTGTTGAGGGAAGAATTAGACCCTTTGGATGACAAATGAAGAGCAAAAAGAAAATGTTACAAATAAATGGCAGTATAACCAGTAAAACTCGGAGAGTATTTAATTTTAACCTTCAGTAGAAGAGAACAAAAAATATCTAAAAGACAAAAATGTAAAAAGCTACATGTTCTTATGTTTTCAGGTTTAATTTTTAGGTACTAGCAAATACAAAAGAATCCACAGACTGACACATAGGAGAATGCTGGGTGTTGAATAAATGCAGAGAATGTTTCGCTTACTTACCTGTGGTGTTATCCCGCAGAAGTTGGTGGTCAGTATCTACAATGGGAGATGTGGCTGTACCCCCCAGCACACTTCCTGGGGTGACATAAGGGTCAGATTCAGGGTCGATGTTTTGGATACCTTTCCATGGCACTCCTGGTTGGAATTCTGAGACAAGGAGAACAAACAATTAGGGGTAGGAGGTTGTTCAAAAAATGATAAAATAATTTTTTGCTATGGGAAATGGGTCTGGGAAAAGACTAAATACTGATCTATTTTATTCCAGATTGTCATCATGAAGTAAAAAAAATCAGCATGAACACATCCTGTTCCAGTAGTATCTGCTTTATCTTTGTGTTAGAATAACATTGTTGACCTTCTGTTTGTGCCAGTGAACTTGGGGCCACTGTTTATCAATACCTGGTCCTAGTACCTGACCTTCCTGCTCCCAGGGAGATGAAGGCCTGAAGGTAGGGAAAGCAGGATTAAGTTCTCTGGTGCTCATCAGAAATTGTCCTGGCATCTAGGCCAAGATTTGGGAGAGAATCTGGAGTGGAAATCAGTGACCTGTCCCATTTCCATCACCAGAAACTAGCTGAGAATGCATGGAAGAAAATGTAATACAAATGACCGTCACTACACAGTCGCCCAGGAATAACTTGGGCTTATCATGTAGAATGCCTAGAATATATTTGAGAGGTTACTTTTTTTTTTTTGTCAATTTAAATCGTATTTAAAGCTATGTGGTAGAATGAACAAACTTTTATCTTCACAATCATGATGAGGAAGAACATGCATTTTATGACCATACTTTAGTAAAATTAAACCATACATATCCGTATCACAAATATACATGTACAGAAAGAGGTCTGGAAGAACAGATACCAAATTCTTGGAATTACTGATTTTCATTTTTGCTTCACTAAATTTTCGAATTTTTCTACAATAAACTCTGATTATTTATGTCAAAAAAAGAAAAATATTTGACTAACAATCTCATTGCACTCACTACTGCATATCTGCAACCTAATAAAAAATCCTTGCTTAATGAATAAACCAATCAATTCAATGGACACTTCAAAGAACCCAGGTTCCAAGGCATCCTGTCCATGGGATGAATGTCAAGTGCTAGGTGGAATGTCACCTTCCTTGACCTTCAGATTCCACTCCTCCTGACTTTCTTGGGTCATATGCCTGGGAGGTTATTTACTGTGCAGCTGATCAGAGTTCACACTTTGTCTTCCTGATTGAACGCTAGAGAGAATTCCCTATCTGCCCACAGTACACAGCACATGCCTGGCTTTTAGCAGACAACAGTTACTGAATGAAAAAATGAAATCAAGTGACCTTAGTAAAGTGGGTTGCAAAAACAATGTGTTCAGAACCTGAAATTAACAACAAAAACACAAATGCTATCCCAGAAAAAGCATTTCCTGGACAATACCTGGAGGCCAACTGGCATTGCTGGATTTAGTTCCGAGTTTATTTGTTGGTGGAGATTTGGCAGGTAACCAGCTATCACCAGCAGGACCCGTATGGCCACCCAGTGTGTCACCCGGGATGATATCAAACTGGTTGTATGGTGACCCTCCTCGGGTCTTACCAGGGGCCACTATAGCGCCTGAAAAAGGAGAGAAAAAATTAATTCATACCCAGAAAGGACTCCTATGAACAGAACTTCTCTTTTATTCTGAGTAACTCAAACAAATACAATATTCTGAAGCTTATGGACTAAGAAGAGTACTGGAATAAGTGGTTGCCTTTGAGACTCAGTATTTAGTTAAAAAACAGTTATCGCCAGGAACAATTCATTTCACCCGTCTAAGCCTCTCAGTTTGTCACTTTTGCACAAAGGATTGTTCTCATTCTTGCAATATTCCTTTCAGTTTTAAAATTCTATGGCCTTATGAACTTCTTAAACTACAAAGCATACCATTATCCCCACAGTTTCTAGGATAATAACTCATGAGTGAGAAACAGGAAAAATACTAAACAATTTGCTGTAGAAAAGAGGGTTTTTAACTATATTTTCACGGATGCTTCCCACCCAAGCTCTTTAGTGCTGAGCAGGCGTAGTGTAGCTGGAAGAAGCAGGGTAAAGAGAGAGCCCAGCGGCAAGAAAAGCATCTGCAATTGCTTTAAATTCCAAGGCAAGGAGATGGAACTCCTGCACAGGGGCTTTGCCAATACAAAACCAGCAATGACCACTGTGGCCCTGAGAGCCAGGGCCTCACACACGAGGAACAGCAAACCCTTTGTCACTGCTTTCCTGAGACCATGTCAGTGGTTTTGTTGGTGCCCCCTTGGTGCATTTTATAGGCTATGGGGCAGGAAAAACATTAAAAGCTTAAAATTCCCTCAAACTAACAACAACAAAAAACTAAACAAAATTATAGGCATCCGTGAGATACCAAATACCATTCTACTTATTTCTTAAATGAATGTTACGTACTGTATTATGTCACCTGATCTATTCTTAGTCTGTTTAGAAACATAAAATTATTTCCAGGGTAATGTATTAAAATCTTTGTTTAAATACTGGTAAAAATAACCTCTTTGGTTTGGTCTAGCAAGAGTATTATCAAGACTATCTCCCTCTCATTTGCTTGTCTGGAAGCTACTGGCAGGAAGTTGGCTCGAAGGCACATTATGATGAAGTAGTGGCAAATGAAAAGTTCAATTACCCTGGAGATTGCTAAGGAAGTAGGGAAAATATTATTTATAACCTCTAAAAAGGCAAGTGGATATCTTACCTTCGAGATACCCTCTCACATGCCATTTCATTATTTACTATCATGCACATATTGTGTCCTTGGGGACCAGGGAACCCAGTGAATCATCAGTATAAGTGAGTAGTGAAAGTGCCCAAAGCTACAGATGACGCTGGACTTGGATTATTCAGGCCAGAAACAGACTTTATAATTTTAATAAATCATTCTTGACTTCGTGGCACAAAGTCAAATGATAATGCCTCGGGATAGTAGGCAGAGAACATCATGTAGCCACTTCACCCACCTCTTGGATGGGCACGTTAAAGAGTGGTTTATAAAGGAAACCTGAAAGGCTCCACACTGAATGACTCGGCTAGGGCTGAGGCCTGCCAAGAGCAGCAACAGAACGGCCAGACACCTACTTATACTTGGTTCTCACGGATACAGTTGAGTCCAACTGAATTACTGTCAAATGAAGCAAACATTGAAACAAAGGCTGAAGGAAGGTTCTAAGACCACGGATCTGTTTTATAGGGAACTGGAGAAGCCCTTACAGAGAATTATGGGGTGGAAACAACAGCCCACATTCATGACCAAAGCCTGCGGCGCCCGCAAGTGCTGTCTTTGCAGAAAGTTCGAATCTCATGTATGGACCTATTAGTCATCTTTTGGAGATCAAAGGGCAAGAATTTTTTAAAATGCTGTGGACTTAATATGGGTCAAAAAATCAACATGTGTACTAATTATGCTCTCCTGCACCTCAAAAAAAAAAAAAAAAAAAAAGCAAAAACAAGCTGATTCTGTCCTCTTAGCCAATTTATTAGGGTTCTACCACATTGAGTCCCCAATGGCCCTCAATCCCATGGGCTGGTGGGAAATCTTGCACCCCTTAATCAGAACCAGCACGTCTAAGTTTCTTGTAGCATGACATACATATAACCCAACCTTCCTATCCTAGGTGATCTTAAGATTTAGGGAAAAATCAAGAGACTCATTAGGAAAAAGCTGAAGATCTGTGCTTTACAATAATTTTATACGATGCTTTCTCAGGTCAGCTGAGGGTCAAAATGGCTCCGGCTCACAGCGCTCGTTTTGCTCTTACCATTTTTGTGCATATTGGCTTCCTGTGTGGCTACAGAGGGCAGTCCCTCCATCATGGAGGTCCACTGTTTAAAGCGAGACTCGGTTCCAGCCTCCTTCCCACCAACCATGCCATAGTCCATGCTGCCAGAGCTGAAGCCTAAAATGCAGAACCACATTTTATGTCTTTCTGTACATTTCAAGTATCAGCAATGAGGAGTTCTGGGGCAGAGTCCATGAATTGCCTTTATTTGCCACTCAAAGACTAATTCACACGAGCTTGTCCCCACTCAGAAACAGACGTTTCGATTCAAAACTCAGCTCTTGGCTCCTGTTTGCTAAAAAAGTGATGACTTTGCTAAGACTATCTCTGTGCACTTGCACATTCACTTATTCAAATAGTTTAACATCTGGACCAGACAGCAGGCCGGGGCCAGGGATTCTCCACATATCACACCAATATGGTGTAGGGTGAAGCTGAAAGGTTGTGGTAAGGGTACCTGGAAGAGAAAGGCCTCGCAGAAGAAGGGGTAATTATCTATGACCTAAGGACAGGTATTTAAGTAAGTAAGGGAAACAAAGCATAAAAGCTCTGGCTCATCGACAGTCAGCATGCTTAGGGAATGGCGAGAAGTTCAATGAGGTCCAGTGGTTAGCTCACTGTGGGATGAAGCAAGGTGGAGAGTGGCAAGAGAAGGGGGAGAAATGAAGAGTCATGTCATGTAGGTTCCTTATACATGAAGCCAAGGAGTTTGGACATTTCTTCTCTAAGGCAGGAGATAAAGAAATGTTTAAGTGTGAGACATAAACAGATTTGTGTTTTAGAAAAAGAACTGACAGTGTGAGAATGGGAGGGATGGGTGTCTGGTGAGAATCCAAGAGATCAACTTGAAGGAGGTCTTGAGGCTTGCGTTGGTCGTTAGGTAGAGTTCAGAGTTTACTTTGTCATGAGCCCTGGGCAAGTCTCAGGAGTCAGGCCCTTAGCAAGAGTCTGGGTGGGGACTGTTTTACCACTGCACGGGGCCGGGCAGGTGAAAATCACATGGAAAGGCTTGTGGATGCAGCCTCACAGGTGGATGAAAAATCACATGGGAAGCGCTTGTGGATGCACTTTCTCAAACGGTCTCTCAAAAAAGTAAAATAAAGGACTAAAATGAACAAACGAAACAGGGGAGGGGATAGGAAGAACAAGGAGGAACTACAGGAAAAGGAAAAGGAGCCATGCAGCAAACAGCAGGCACATGAGAGGTAGCAGGGTTCCACCACTCCAAAGCCCAGGTGCCACAGGGACCTAAAGCCAGGCCCGGCTCCATGCTGTCCCCACTCTGCTCTCTTAACCATCCAGAGATCTTGTTCTCTCCTCCTCCACCCCAATATTTTACTGGCCCTCCAGTTCCATTTACCTAAACCCCGCTGAGGGCCCACGTCATGGTTTTCTCCCCTGTGCTTATCCTAGTTGTCTGAGATAGCTTTGTAAATCTGTTCTAAAATCTACTTGACCTATGTTTGAAATGTTGCTATTTATATAAAGAACACTGTTCCATCACAATGTAACCAAATTTATTAATCCAAGTGATTGCAGGGGGGCACAGAAGGGAAGGCAGAAATCATTGGAATGAGATGGAAATATTTTGAATTTAGATGATTTAAAAAGGAGAAGGGTTGAAGATATTTTCTTCCTCTGGCTTACGGAGCTGAAATGAAATGATGGACAGACAGGAGGCTGAAAAGCACAAAGGCTCTCTCTGACACAGGCTTTAACGGAATAAGCCACTTGTTCTTTGGACAAATGGCACCTCTGCCTCTGACAGAGCAAACCAGCCCAAGGTACGTGGCTTCCTGGCTGTCTGAAAGCTCATTTCCACTCACGGAGAAAGAACTTTTGAAAAAAGTCTAGGATTCTGGCTAAGATTAAAAACTTAAAGATTAGTTCTAAGATAAGGAATCACTCCTCACACGTTAATTATCTTTAAAGTCGCTCTAAAATTTATTTAAAACTCATAGTGAATTAATGTCATTTAATTTCATCTTTTTAGAGTTCTTTTAGGAGTCCCAGTGGTGCAGTGGTTAAGCGCTTGGCTGCTAACAGAAAGGTCAGCAGTTCCAATCTACCAGCTGTGCCACAGGAGAAAGATGCGGGAGTCTGCTTCCGAAAAGATGATAGCCTTGGAAACCCTATGCGGCAGTTCTACTTTGTACTACAGGGTTGCTATGAGTAGGAATCAACTCGACGGCAGTGGGTTTTGGTTTTGGTTTAGGGGCCCAGGGGACTAGTGCTTCTTGGAAATTATATCAGGGAATTACTTGAAACTTTAGGACAAACTGATCATGAGGATAAAATATATGCAATGCTCAACTTTTTTTTTTTTTTTAATTGTACTTTAGATGAAAGTTTACAAAGCAAACTAGCTTCTCATTAAACAATTAATACTAATATTGTTTTTGTGACATAGGTTGCCAACCCAACATGTCAACAACACTCTCCCCTTTTCAATCTTGGGCTCCCCATTACCAGCTGCAACGCTCAACTTTTATGTTCACTAGTCCTACGCCAGATAGAAAGGGTCTTGTTTCTCTTTCTCTCTGACCTCCAGTATTGCACAGTACTGCCTTCGTGCTTCCATAGCATCCAAAAATAAACAGCTGTTTGAATTTTTTAAAACCAAGATTTCTTTTTATTATTAATGCATATGTGTGTATCACACATAAGGCCAGATGACTTCAGTTTTACCAGAGACTCTTATTCGTTGGACAAGCCCACTTTTGGCCTGTGTGCTAACCAAAGCTGCACTTCTCTGTCTTTTTAAAAAGGCAGATTATAAACAGTCAGGTCACAATTAACACGATAAAGACCTAATAGCATGGATTTGTCCATTGTTTAATAAGTTATAAGATGCTGTTGCTCCTTAACCTGGAGTAATATAATGCACAGCTAAATTTATAAGCTACTTATGAAAGAAGATGATAAAACACATGAAATTCTTCAGTAACTATGTATATACGTGTCTACTGAACTCTGGTCACCCAGCCCTTGGGAATAAACAAGAATCAAGTACAATAATCAGAAATAATACCAGTAATCTAACAGGACATTGTGAGAGAGGTACATGCTGCTAAAAACTAATACATCTGCAGCCACCACACAGTTTTATTTTTAAATAAGAGGCAGAAATTATTAAACACTGTAAGGCCTGTCACTGGAAGAAACACATCATGTGATTTTGGGTTTTGAACATCTAACTGACTAAGGGAGCCCTGAAGGCGAACGGTTAAGAGCTCAGCTGCTAACCAAAAGGCTGGCAGTTTGAATCCACCAGCTGCACCTTGGAAACTCTATTGAGCAGTTCTGCTCTGTCCTACCGGGTCGCTATGAGTCAGAATCGGATCAATGGCAATGGGTTTGCTTTTTGGTTTAACTGACTAAGGCGTGCCCAGTCGAAAAGAAATGACATAAAAGTTTCCCCACAGGCTTTACCTGGTTCATTCTGAAAATGTTTTTATATTTGAAAGAAGCTGCTTGAAGGTGCTTTTCTTTCCAGCTAATGAAATGTCCTAGGGACAAGCACTGAGAAAAGCTGAAAAGAACTGCTTGCATTAACAAATGTGAGAGAGCTGCTTTGGGCTTCCACACACTCTCTGCTCTGCACTGACTGGGCTCTACCTTGGCAACTAGGCACTCTAATGAATGGGAAAGGAGGAGGCACAGCTGCCCTGCTCTATTATTACATATTGTGTCTCAATCAGAATTCAACACGTACCAAAAAATCCAAATTTTTATGCCCAGCTTCATCCTCCAGAAGATGAGGAAGAAGGTGGAGACTGGGAGCCGAGGGGTTATCGGTAGTTTCACTGATCCCTAACGAGGCTTCCCCCTTGCTTCGTGCTCTGGCATTCTACCCCTAGACCAGCACACCTAGGAAGATGTGGGATGGGTGAAGGGCTTGCCCTTCTTTTCTGTCAAGTGGAAGACAGGCTATCTCGACCTTAAGTCAGTTTTCAGGAGATAATTTTTAAGAGATAGCCGACTTGGTGGAAGTTGAGGATGTGGAAATTAATTCCCTTAAACCTATCCCAGATCATGGACGGCTTGAAGTCTTTGATCATCCCTGTATGTGGCCACCTCAGTTGGAAGGTCACTGAACTACCAGAGAATAGGGCGATTTGGTCAGGGTGACTTTGCCACCTTAGAGTATGGTTTCAGGTCCTCCCAACTCTTGTTTTCCAGTTTGCAGAGAACAGTATCTTATTTACCTAAAATGTCAATGTTGTCAGTTTGAGAAGAAACCTGCTGTGGTATGTGGTGCCTTTTTAAGTTTTAACTTTTATTTTTAATTTAAATCTGTCACCTCACTGACGGAATTCTGCTTATAACATGCTCCCCAGTTCTGAAAGAGTTGCCACTTGGTTGCCAAAAGATTCTTGATGAATGTCACAGGTATAACCTTACTTGTGCTGATTCTATTTAAATCAGATGAAATACTAATATCCGATGAATTTTATCAGTTTGCCCTCTAACTTTAGAACCTCAAGTTTTTTCAAGAGAAGGCAATTTTATCAGTAGAGTTACACACTTCCACCTGTACACATTTAAAGAGATTGTAACCTCAGACATGTGTAGCACTCACAGCATGTACAAACATTTAACTCGGCTTTTAGAAATTCCTGGTGCCATTCATAAGCACGTTGTAGTGAAAGACTGCTATGGAGTCGGAGAGATTGGAGCCCTGTCTCTACTATCAACCAGTTGTGTAGTGAGCTTTGGAAAATCATCAAAGCTCTATTTGAGCCTGAGATATATCTACCTACCTCGTATAACAACGACAACAGCAGCAAAAAAACCAAACCTGTTGTCGTTGAGTCGATTCTGACTTATAGCAACCCTATCAGACAAAGAAGAACTGCCCCAAAGGCTTTTCAAGGCTGTAAACCTTTATTGAAGAAGACTGTCACATCTTTCTTCCACAGGGCAGCTGGTGGGTTTGAACCTCTGACCTTCTGGTTGGCAGCTGAGCGTTTTAAACACTGCACCAACAGGGCTCCTTTCTACTAGTATAGCTATGGTAAAAATGGAGTATAATGGGAGTTCAACTTCTAGCATAGGCCTAGAACATGATAGTTAGATTAAAAAATGAAAAATGGTAGTTTTTATGGCTAAGAACTTACCAGAACCATATCCAGGTATTGGCCCTTTGGTTTGAAGGTCTTGGAGTCCCACATTCAGAGCGTTGGGTACCATGTTATCCAGATGTGACTTGGGCCCAACAGGATGAGATGGCGAATGCTTCATGCTAGGCTGCCTCTGCTGCTGTTGCTGCTGCTGCTGAAGGGCGCTCACCATCCGAGCAAGCTGTCGGGGGCGGTGAGGGTGGTGGGGGGAAGCCAGATCAAGGAGGAGGCCCATCAAGGAGGAGGCCCAAGGGAAAAAGGAAAAATGATAAGCCTTTAATATCCAGAACTTCACAGGAAAAGGCTGCATATGATTCCTTTTTGCTATCAGAGAGGTTAAACTGAGATGCACTCCTCACACATACTACTAGAGGGACTCTTCCAATCCCACACCTATATCGTTGCCATCGAGTCGATTCCGACTCACGGCAACCCCATGTGTCAGAGTAGAACTGAGCTTCACAGGGTTTTCAATGGTTGTAGTCTTAACGAAGTAGACCACGAGGACTTTCTTCTGCAGCACTGCTGGGTAGATTCGCACGGCCAACCTTTTGGTTAGTAGCTGAACACAAACTGTTGGTGTCAACCCCACACCTACAACAGACAAGAAGGCACGTACCTGCTGCTCTTGCTGCTGGCGCACAGCTTGAGAAATCTTTCTCTGGTTCTGCAACAACTGCTGCTGTTGCTGCTGCTGCAGGAGAAGCTGACATGCCTACAAAACAAGAGAGGCCACTGGGCGTCTCCTCAGCTTGACCTGCTGAGAACACTGAGAGGGTCTGTGAGATGCACTAAGGTCACTAACGCGAAAGTACCAACGAGGAAAGCATCATCAAGTTTCTCACCTTCTGGTTATATTCACCTCTGGCTAGGCTGACGTATCAACGTTTGTTGTTGTTAGATACTATGAAGTCGATTGTGACTCAGAGCAACCCCATGTGACAGAGTAGAACTGCTCCATAGGGTTTTCCAGGCTGTAATCTTTACGGAGCAGATCGCCAGGTCCTTCTCCTGAAAAAGTGCCTGGTGGGTTCCAACCGTGAACCTTTCGGTCAGCAGCCGAGTGCTTAACTGCTGTGCCACTAGGGCTCCTCTATATCAACACTTACGCGCACTCAAGAGTTTGGATAGAAGTGTGAACTAGTAATTTCTAACCATAAAAACTGGCAAAGATAAATGAAGCAAATCAAAACTAAAGAAAACAACAAAAAAATTTTGCAGATCTTTTCAACTATACGAGGAAAATCTGCTACTTACCAACTGAAACTGGGGAATCTGTGGAAGCTGGCTCAGCATGGCAATTTGTTGAGGAGATAACTGGGGCCCCACATTGAAAAGGCCTGGACTCAGGCCGCTGTTGGGAAACTGCTTGAGCATTGAGGCAGACACCTAGACAGATGCACACACAAAGATGGAGCTGTCAGAATTTATCGTAATAAAACAATTTTTTCTCTGAAAACAATCTTGATAGATCTAATGCAAGTACTGACAACTTTTTCTTTGAAAAATATTTATGAAAACTATTATACACTTGGGGGAAACACGCCAAAGTATTAACAATGACTATCTCTCAGCCACTGAGATTATAAGAGCTTATTCTCTTCTTTAGACATTCCCAATTTTTCTACAATAAAAATTGTGAATTTAATAATCAGGAAAACAAGTGCACAAAAAAATTTTTTTGTGAAAGTATGGCTTTTGTCTGAGGAGTTATTACAGGAAGTCTGCCATAAAGTAAAACATACTGAACTGCATAAAGCTAATAAACGCTTAAAAGAAAGTACTCCTGCTACACAAATGATGATAAAAATATATTAACTTGTAAAATAACACACTGGAGTTCAACTCATGACTTCTCATACTGAATACACACAGAGCTGCAGAGAGCCAGTGTGGAAGGTCCACAGTTACTGTCCCCATTCTCTCCACAGTTTCAGGAATGAGCTGCACTAAGCTGCGGGGAACCTCTGGTGACAGGGAAAAGATGCCCTCCCACTCATTAAAGATTTTTTAGCTAAGCTGAAATCAGTTTCCCTGTGCTTTCATCCACTGATGCCACTGGATGCCCTTGGGGCCATGGAGAACAAATTTACTCCCTCGCCCATGAGCGGCAAATAGGACACTGGTTTAAGAGTTCAGCTCTAGAGTCAGACTGCCTGGGTTTATAGCCCAGCTCGGCCATTTCTAAGCTGTATGACCTGCAGCAAGTTACTTATTTAATCTTTCTGAGCCTCGATGTTCTCATCTTAAAATTAGAATAATATTAACTTCAGTAGGTTATTTGAGGATTTTGTGTTAAATGCTTAGAAATGCACTCACTAAATGTTCATACTATTCTACAGGATGGCTCTTCAAATGTCTTGAGACAATGATTACAGTTCCCTTGCATCTTATCTCCAGGCTAAATATGATCAGTTCTTTCACCTGTATCTCAATGAATTTCTTGATACAGAGTCCAGAACGGAAAGCTACATTCTAGAATAGTCTAGACCAGGGTATCACTACTCTTCTGGTAAAAGTCACGCTTTTCTCAATGATGTCTAAGATCTCAGTTTCTCTGGTGATCACATAACTCCTAATTCACATACTAAACTTACTGTCAAAATCTACAATATTTTAAAATATATTTTGCTGCTCAATCATATCTCCCCCCATGTAATATTGAAGCAACTGGTTTTAAAAAATTTTTAGTAATTTATCCAAGCTTAGAACCTTGCATTTACCTTTATGTGCCTGGCACATAGCTGATGCTCAATAAATACTTATTCAGCAGACAGGTCTCTATTCTATTCTAATTTGTTAAAAGTCGGCCCAAGTTCTTCTTGATCCTATTATTCCACTTATTTATTTATTCCATTTATTCCCCCATGTGGTCATCAATGGGAATGTTGAATTTGACAGAGCTGAGGATAATCTAGTAGCATGCCACTAAAAACTTCCTTCCAACCTGAAACTGGAATAGTCAACCATTTACTAATTTATGCAATGGTTTTATTTTAGCATGTAGCCTATATTTTTCCATCTCATCCAAAACAATGAGGCAGCTTGTTAAATGGTCTGCTGAAATGAAGATACAATGACTATATCATTTTTTATGATCCAATATTTCTTACTCATCAGTGAAGGAAATGAGTCAAGTTGAAACTTGGAGCAAACTGTGATTACTGATTCCTATCCTAGGTGCTCAAAAGCCATCTTTCTGATAATCTAGTCTAGATCTTGCCTGGAATTCGCACCAGGATCATCAGTCTTTGAGCCCGTTTCCTTATTTCTCCTTTCAAAAATTGTTTTAAAATTTCCCCCACTCTTCTCATTATCTTGTGGGGGAGGGGCGCTTCTTTCCCATTTCTGATCTAAGGCTCCACACAACAATTAGTCCAAAGTAGTGGTTCCTTTCTCAGTCACCATATTGCACCAAACTCAAAAGCTCCTTAAATCTGCCTACTTTTTTTTTTTTTTTTACAAGCCTCACCTTCTTCTGTGTTCTAATCGCCTGACACAACTCTGAACTTCAATGTTGCTCTCATATTCCATCATTGCTTTTATACCTCTGCTTTCCATCTTGTGAAAATGCCCCTTTACAAACTGAGTTCATCAGGAAGCATCTCTCTTTAGCATCACAGTCAGCGTTAAATTCTTCAGTTTCCTAATACTTTTGAGCCACCGTCATAGGCACATCCTCAAGAACATATTTTCTCTGACATTTTCTAGTCTAGAAACATCTAAGTTCAGGTTCCCTATACCTGACTCACAATCTCATTTTCCAGACACTTCCACGTAACCTATCACTTTATTGTTCTGAGAAGTGTTTTGGTTTAAAACAGTAGTTCTCCCAGCTGCTTCCCCTCTACCCTGGAAGAGATGCTGAGTGTTGCTAACCAATATAAAAACTTGACTGATTACCTATTTTAACTGTTGGGCTCCCAGCAGATGTGTGTATAGCGAGCACACCCCTACTGTGGCCAGCAGGAAGAACATAGCTCCACAATTTCCCTCAAATACCAACTTTTCTTCACTTCTCCTTTGAGTTCACCCAAATAATCACCAGTGTGACTTAACTCATAGTGTCTGCTATAATACTTCTAATCTCACTGTAATAAGAGATTGGGGAAGGAGGGAAGTATAGATATAGCCTATACTTTCAACATCATGCCCCAAACCAGAATCTTATCCCACCATACCGCAATGACCCATAAAATCACATCAGTGATGTGTGAATCTTAATTCATTTGATTTAGCAGCTGTACTGGGTTGACAAGCGTTTCCTCCCACCAAAATTTACCCAGAACCTCAGAATGCGACCTTATTTGGAAATAGCGCAACTAGATACAATCAAATTAAGAGGAAGTCACAGAGGATTAGGGTGGGCCCTAATCCGATGACTGGTAGAAACCTGGACACAGAGACAGAGGGGAGAACCCCAGGCGAAGACAGAGGCAGAGATCAGAATGATGTGTTTATAAGTCAAGAACCGCTAAGGATGGCCAGCAATCACCAGAAGCTAAGAGAAAGGCATGGAACAGATTCTCCCTTAGAGCCTCCAGTAGGAACCAACCCTGCCGACATACTGATTTTAGACTTCTAGTCTCCAGAATGGTGAGAGAATAACTTTCTGTTGTTTTAAGCCATTCTGCTTCTGGTAATTAGTGTTGCAGCAGCCCCAGGAAACTAATACAGTAGCTACACTTCACACAGATCTCTAGGCTCTAGACCTGTGCTGTCCTATATGTGACTACTGAGCACTTGAAATGTGGCTAGTCTAAACTGAGATATGCTGTAAGTGTACATACCAGACTTGGTACTAAAAAAAAAAAGTAAAAATTTCATTAATAATTTTAAAACACTGACTACATATTTTGGATATATTGGGCGAGAGAATGTATATTATTAAAAGTAAGGTTAAGAGCTCGGCTGCTAACCAAAGGTCAGCAGTTCGAATCCACCAGCCTCTCCTTGGAAACCTCATGGGGCAGATCTACTTTATACTATAGAGTCACTTTGAATCAGAATCAACTTGATGGTAACAGGTTTGCTTTTTGGGTTAAAGAATGTACATTATTAAAAGTAATTTTACCCATTTCTTTGTACCTTTTTAAATGTGGCTACTAGAAACTGAAAATTACACAATGTAGCTCGTGTTACATTTCTGTTGGGCAGCAATGCTCTAGGCCATCAGCAGTGTTTCCAACTTCCTTTCCAAAGTTTTCTTCTATGATTCACTGGAAATCTTGAAATCTCCTCTGCTTATTTTGTCCTCAGACCTGCTGGCCTTCAAAATAAATGCCTGTTCTCTGAGCTTTCATTTCTTTTCCCTTTTTTGTTTAGTTTAAAAAGTTCTACTGAACAAAGCTGCTGGTCTCTGGAAAGACCATTTCTCTTCAGTCTTGAGAATGTATGCCATTCCTTGCTAAAAAAACAAAAACTCAGTTGCTGTCAAGTTGATTTAACTCATGGCGACCCCATGTGTGTCAACACAGAAGTGTGCTCCACAGGGTTTTCAATGCCTGTCGCCCTTCAAAAGTAGATCACTGGGCCTTTCTTCCAAGGCACTTTTGGACAGATTCAAACCACTAACCTTTTGATAAGTAGCTGAGTGCTTAACCATCTGCACCATCCAGGGACTCTCATTATTCTTTTCTCCTTCAGTATTCCTAATACTCAAAATTAGCTTTTTTTTAAAAAAAAAAAAAACCATTCAAAGTAAAAGGGAACATGTGCATGATTCAGCAGTACCCTAGAGAAACTTATCCTAGCAGACAAGTATAAGAATGTTCACACAACACTGCTCATAACAGCAAAAATCTGAAAACAAGCTAAATGGTGTATCAACAGAACAGGTAAATAAATTATGGTGTATTCATATAATGGAACCCTGTATGAACCACAACTGTATAAATAAACATGAGAAAAATCTCAGAAACAATGTCAAATGAAAAAAAGTCAGAGAATACTGTATACTGTATGATTCCACCACATAAAGTGTAAAAACATGCAAAATGAAATAAGATATTATTTAACGATAGGTAAGTAGACAGATGGAGTATAAAGAAAAGCAAAGGAAAACTAACAAAAGGCCTTTTTATACTTACATTTGAATGCCAGCATCTCATATGTTCCGTAAGTTGACAATTATAAAGACTACAAAGGCCACGCTTAGGAGGATGTCCTACCTAGCTTTGCTCAACATCTCCCTTCTTCAGACCACAGAGGTACTGCCCTTCTCCAATGAACACAGAAGGATCCGAGAGCAGGGCCACTAGGCTCCTGGCAACTGGCTTCTCATACCTGGTCTGCAGAGTAATTAAAATGCAGGTTCCCACACTCCCAGGTAGCAGGGCATTAATTATTCTGGCTTAGGAGCCCTTCAATCTCCAGCTGGGTTTGGAGAA